TTTCCCTATGATAATTCATAGGACACCTACTACATCTGGTAATTCCTATAAAGTCTAAGAATGTTTGCCTGTCTCTACAGAACCTTTAGATCTTTCAGATTTGGCTCTTCCTTTTTAAAAAGCTGTTTTTTGAAATTTTAGGGATTATTCAGCCTGATTTGTGCAGATACTGTATAAAACATATGAAGAGAGAAAGAGCAAGCAGGTCAAAAGCATCATGGAGCCAGCAAACAGGGCCTTCTAACAGGGTTAGCAGTTTGCAGGCATTTGCTGGGGGCAAGAGGAGGAAGGAGAAGAGAAGCCAGGCACCAGATCTTTCTCAGGGAAGGTAAGTGATCCAGCTGCCTGTGCCTTTGGTTTTGCTGAGTGTTTGTTTGGTGGTGTGTGTCTGGGGCATGTGCTCTGAGTAGCTAGGAGTGATTGCTGACTGCTGTGTGATTCCTGCCTGGGCCTGACAGAAGCCCTAACAAAGGGGCTGAGTCAGCTCAGGCCCAGAAGGGCATAAAAGGAGACTCCCTACATGACCAGGAAGCCAGCAAACAGAGACTGCAAATAGGGTAAGCAGGTTTCAGGCAGTTTGCAGGCCAGTTCCTAGACCAGTTCATGGGTAGTAGCATAGCTTATTACCATACAATGGTGGGGATGCATCATCCCCAGTAGCTTCCCACCTTGGCACCAGATGGTGCTGCCCCCAGCTTGCAGCACTGAGGCCTTCACCCAGATGGAACCCATGGTTCCAGCCTCCACTCACATGAAGCCCCTGGCTCCAGGCTGTGGGGGCTGTCTGGCATGGCTGCCAGCAACTGGGAATGGGAGCAAGGTCACCCCCCCGCCCCGTGGAGTATGTTCCTTAGTGAGGTCCCTGGAGTCCCAGGTAACTGAGCTTCAGGCCCAAGTAAGCAGGCTTTGTGCCATCAGGGCCCACAAGCAGGAGACTGATGACTACTACAGTCAGGCTCTTCTTCTGAAGAACAAAGAGAAAAGAGCCCAGATGCCCAGCTACATGAAAATGGACAAGAGGAAGATCGACTGGGAGTCCCATCCAAGGGATGCTTGGAAGATGGTTGTCTTGGGTCCCATTCGTCCCTTGGAACTGAGCAAGAGGTATGCACCTCTCACACCACCAGCAGAGACATCAGCAGAATGGAATCACCAGTTTTGGATGAAGGGAGGCAGCTAGGTGCCACCCCTAAGAAGAGACATGGGGTGGCCATGGTGGGTGACTCTTTCCTGAGAGAGAAAGAGGGAGTGATCTGTTACCCTGACCCCCTGGTCCAGGAGGTCTGCTGCCTCCCAGGGGCCCATATCCAGGACATAGCAGAGAGGATTCCTAAACTTGTCTGGCCCTCCAACCACTACCCCATGCTCCTCATCTATGTGGGCACAAATGACACATCTCAAAGCCATCCTGGCTGGGTCATGAGTGACTATAGGGCTGTGGAGGCTGGGCTTAAGAGGCTGGGGGTGCAGGGAGCTTTCGCCTCCATCCTCCTAGTTTCAGGCTGGGGGCCTAGGAGAGAGAGATTTATTGAAGAGGTGAACCAAAGGTTCCAGCAATTTTGCTAACAAAAGGGTTTTGGCTTCCTGAACCACACTATGCACTTCAGAGACAGAAGTCTTCTGGGAAGGGACAGTATCCACCTCATGCCAAAGGGGAAGGCTCTTTTCTTGGCCAGGATGGTGAACCTCCTTGACCGGGGTTTAACCTGAGATCGCTGGGGCATGGGGGAATGAGTGCAGCAAGCCCAGGGGACAACAAAGAAACAACCATTACAACAGGAGATGACAGGAAGGATACTACAGCATGAGCTGAGAAAATGGAGCTCCTTCAACATGACAGGAAACCAAGGACCTCCAGCGGAGGCCTCAAATGCCTGTACACAAATGCCAGGAACATGGGGAACAAACAGGAGGAACTGGCCCTCCTGTTTTCCAACAGGGACTATGATACCATAGGGGTAACAGAGACCTGGTGAGACTCTACCCTCAATTGGACCATAGCTATAGAGCGCTACAACCTGCATAGGAAGGATTGCATAGGGAAAAAGGGTAGAGGTGTAGTTCTATATATAAAAGAGCAGTACACCTTGGAAGCTGAAATTGGTACTAAGGGCAGCTTGAGAGCTCTGGCTCAAGATATGGCGGGGGGGGGCGTGGTGAAAGGGACATAACTGTAGAAATATATTACAGACCTCCAAATCAAGATGAGGAGCTACATCTGGAACTCTCCAGAGAACTGGAAGAGGCTGCGAGAGCACGAGATATGGTGGTCATGGGCAACTTTAATTACCCAGGAAGAACACTTGGCCAGACCTGACTGGTTGCATAGATTCCTGACTTGTATTAATTACCTCTACCTGTCTCTAGAGGCCTGAAGATCAAGCCATATGAGGAAAGGCTGATAGATATGGGACTGTCCAGCCTAGAAAAGAGAAGACTTCAGGGGGGGATTTGGTGACAGCTTACAAATATATCAGGGGTGAGCATCAGGGGCTAGGCAAACAACCATTCACCAAAGCAGGGAAAAAACAGGAGCAAATGTCATAAACTCCTAGAAGAGGGTTTCAGACTAGATATAAGGAAACATTTCTTCATGGTTCATGTGACCAGACTCTGGAATAGACTCCCCATGGGGCTGGTGCAGGCACCTACCCTGGATATCTTCAAAAGGAGACTGGACACACAGCTCGCTGCGGTTTTTTGACTCCAGCAGTCTTTCCTGCCCAGAGCAGAAGGGCTGGGCCCGATGATCTCATGAGGTCCCTTCCAGCCCTAACCTTCTGTGAATCAAACAGTAAGGAAGGTTGATAATTGCCTTATTTAAAGAAAAAAAGAGAGAGATTTAATAATATACACATTGTTTCCCCCTACCCAGAAATCATTTACAAATTCAAATGCTACTTCTGAAGAGATTTTTTTTGGTCACAAATAGGGCTAGATTTCCAGTTCTGGAGTCTGAGATTACCTATTTATGAACACAATTGTGTGGAATGCACAAAAAAAGTACAGATAAGATGTTCTTCAATGAGTTGTACCCTCCTGAGCTGGAGAATTTGGTTTCTAATTGATGGAATTCTCCAGGAAGCAATGATTTCATTGAATGGTTTTGCCACACTGCTGAACATTATAATGGTTTAAAACAACCACACAGCAATATTATATGAGGGAATCATTTTGGAGTAGACACAATTCACTCCTTACAGCTGTCGATGGGCTAAAGCAGTCAGTCAGGAATTACTTTGTCCAAAGAGATAGAACAGTTGTTGAAAATAAGGGATTATATTATGAAAATATAAAGCACCATTGTATTGTGGGACAGATTAGAGGTGTAGATGAACTATAGCAGCTGCAGCGTTTTAGCCTTTTTGTCCAAATTTACAAGAAAGTATTTAACTTTCAGTTGGTCAGCCAGAGTAATTATTGTAGCCAAAACCAGAGAAAAATCTGATATAGCTGTGACGTAAACATTTTATACAAATTATTTGCAAGCTGAAAGAATTCTAAGCAATTTTTGTGTGGTTTATTTATTTATCTATTCATTGCTCTACATTTTCACTTAGGGGAGACATGGACCCAAAGAGTAAGGTTCACTTTGTTTAGTCTCCTGGAATTTGAAATTTCTGCCCTTGTATGTGCACTGCTACCTACAGACTGCTCACTTGCTGATAGGCTAATAACTTATCAGTGAGAACTGGATCAAAGTGAACAGCTCATTTTACACAAACCAAAAAAAAAAGAAAGGTATGAGAAAGCATACACATCCTATCACTGAATGGTATCAGGATCAGTCATTATATAAGGATTTGGATAAGCCTGCAACCTACATTTTGGAAGGAGTGAAGGTAGGCTTGAAATGCAGCCATGAAGTATCTTCAGCTGTCACTAGTCTCTCTTTACTATTGTGTTATAGTTTTGTAGAATATAAGTAAAAATAATGTACTGTATCTTCTTGAATCTAAGGCAAAGTCCCTCCCCCCAATTTTTCATACAAAGTGGTAGGGGTGAAGGCAGCACCTGTGGCTCTGACTGAGCCTGGATCAGGGTTGGGAGGGTCAGAAGCTGTGCAAAGCTGGGGGTGGTTGGTACA